ACACACCAGGAGAGGAATCTTTTTTCGCCCAAAACAGACCCAGAACTTTTTAACAAACTCTACCTGTGTTTTCTTTTTCTATTGATTTCCCCTTTGACATTTAAGTAAGGATTTGTATTTAAACTTTCACATTCTGTAGGATGTTTTACAGCATACCCTGTGCACATAAAAAACTATTTTCTATTCAATACACTCAAAGAAGCAGTAATCTGTCAGGCACTTAGTCTTCCAAATACAATGAGAATTTATGTCAGTACAAGTATTTTTTTTCCTGTTGCTAATTGTAGAGTTTAGTGGTGAGCACATAAAAGCTACAAATGAACATAATGAAGTTTCCTTTGATAACTGTCTCTATTTCTAGATGTGTTCAAAGAAGGAAATAAGGAAGGCATCAGGAAAGACAGAGGAAGCCAAATAATCCCCACAATGCTTGTATGAGCTTCATTTCTCTACAAGATTTCCAGAAGAGCAATTCCAATTTTGCATCCTCACCACAAGCACCTTTGTATTTTGTACAAAATTGTCTCATTTTTCTATATGCTTACAAAGATGAAATAGCAGCTGGAACACAAGACTAAAACTGCTTTAATTCTCAGAAGAACAAACCCCTGTGGAGGTACAAGGTGCAGGGAGCATACAGACTCTTTGCCCTACACTCAAGACCACTTACCTCTCCTCAGCTGGCAGATGACAACCACCTGCAGCAGCTTAAGCACATCCCAGAAATGCATTTCAGTGGATTTTCCCAACCACAGAGAACCATCTCAACTCCAAGAAAACAGAGATTGTCTCTCACACACCTGTATGCTGTTTTTATCCTGCTGACTCTCACTCCTCTTTTCTCACACCCAGCCAGATGAAGCAGCCATCTCCACCTGGGTTTCCCCGTTGCCACCAGATCACAGTCCCAGTGCTGAGACAGAATCCTGTTTCCCCAGTCCACCTCAGAGCTCAGTCCTGAGCTTTGCACAAGCCAATGATGTGCTCCAGGAAAGGGAAATGGTGGAGGTGTGATGGGAAAATGTTTCCCAGGAAAGGGAAATGGTAGAGGTGCGATGGGAAAATGTCCAAAAGGCAGTAATGCTGTGATCTTAACATTTACTTATATTTAAAAAGATGTCTGTGAAGTCCTGCCTCTGGGCAGATTTCTGTCTCTCTCCCCTGAAAGTGACTGCATGCCCCATGCTCCAGATTCATCCCAAAGCCCTCAGAGATCAGGACAAGCCCAGTTTAGCCGGGAGCAGGTATGTTACCTGCCCTTTCTAAGAATTAAGCCAGCAACCCAGCCAAAGAACAGTGTCACCACCAGCTTTCCTGAGCACACCTGCATAGAGAAGTAGCCTAAGGAACTAGCTTGTGGACTTGACTGGAAGATGAAATTTTCAGCCTTTTGAAAAGGTTTCCTTCCTCTCTTGTCTCTTCGTGGACCTATGGCAGCTTTTGAAAAATAAAACAATAAGGAAATGCAGAGAAAAACATAAGATGCCCGTTTGGTTTTCTAAGTTGTAGTCCTCATAAAGTGTCCCTGAAAGCTTAACAAAGTGCTTGCAGACATGAGTTATGAAACCCTAGAAATTTCTGGCCACAGAAAGTTTTTATAGAAAAAGCTTTTCATAAAGATTTGGAGAGAAGCCCAAGTACACTGAAAGATAAAAAACGTACAAAGTAAAACTCTGGAGGGTGCTGTGATCAGGGAAATTATTTTGAAAAAACCCCCAAAAAACTGCAGGGAAACAGGCATTTAAAAGCTTTGAAGATTCATATTTCTTCACATTTTGGCAGACAATGTCTATACTATTATTAAATTCCTTAGTTTTTGGAACAGGATGGATCACTGAGTGACAGCGAACACAGGAGTGTTGAAGGAATAGCATACAAGTGGATGCATGTCAAGAGGCACTGCCTTTGATCTGTTCTCTGCTGTGAAGGATGACAGGGAGTTGTTATCCCAAAGCACTTTGCACAGGAAATCAGGATGTGGCTGTAACAGATATTAATCTCCCAGGAGAAAGCTAAGGAGTAATTCAAGCACGGTAAATTGCAGTGACTGAACAGTATTCAGCTACAGTAGGTGTAATACTGGAGGTTGTAGTATTACTTGCACTCATCCCTGTGCAAAGCCCTAATATCTACCTTATCTCTGACTTAGGGGTCTTAAAGAGTTCTCTAGGGAAAAAAAAGCTCTCAAGGCTTCCAGAGGTATTTAGCAAACACACAGGCATGACATGGCACTGCTGTAACTTAGATTTGTAACTTATTTTTTGTGCATTAAATGCTAAGTAAATATTCTTCTGAACTGAAATCCAGCTAATATTTAAGCTCACTGAAAATTCTTTGTTTTACCTGTAGTCATAATAACTTTATCAACTGAAAAGCATTTTGTTCTGTTAAATGGTCCAAAAAAGAGCCCATCAACTTTTGCAGTATTGCTGAGCCACTTGATATTGCTCTCCTACTGAAAAAACCAGTACAGAGACCATACTGCAATCAATATCAAGTGATCCCACAACTTTTGCTTTGTATTGCATCTCTGCACCCTCTAATGACTTTCATATTATCATCAGCATGCTCTCAGGAAGTTTACATGTCAGGACTAATTAACTAGGATGGTTTGTCTTCCCTTATTAATCCCCTAAGTACTGAAAAATGCATTCCCCTTTGAGCAGGAGCAGCTGTGACCAACGTGGCATCAGAGATGCAAAGCCAGCATTTTACTCAGAAGCACTTGCTACAGCATTTCTGGGAGAATAATTAAAGTAACTGTTGCTGTAATTCCTGTAATAAGGTTAAAATGTGTCTTTACAATTCGACTTCCCAAAACTCCATCCAAACGACTTGTTAATGTGTATGGGATAGCCAGTCATGCACAATGTAGCTTGAAAAATTGCTGCCTTCCACTTACAAAGATACTTCCCAAGTCTGTACTTTTGCAATTAGGCTCTACCTAGAAGACAAAAATTTACTGAAGAACCAAGCCCTTGCCTTTTAATTGTACCAGTATTGCTATATTTTTAAACTAAATCACTTCTTTTGTTAGATCTTTGTTTTGCTTACTAAGGCATATATCAAGTAAAGTAGCCTGTTTTCCATAAGGAGATTATAATCCTATTGTCCTCATTTCTTGAAGGGAAATAGTATAGGAAAAAAAGAAGACATTTAGTATTTGCATACCAGTTCAACAGATTATATTTTTTGAATTTAAATACATTTGTCTTGTTTGTAAAATGACTGTTTCAGAACACGAGTTATCTAAAATACATTCATATTATTAACAGAGTTTTGGTTGTTGAATTAACCTTTTCTACACTTGCCATTTACTGAAATGTCCTTCATGGACTAGAACCAGAGAGCTGTTTTTCAGCCTGTAGAAACATCACATGAATCATGGCTCTCATGTTTCTTCACGTTAATTGAGGTCTAACTGTTCACCAGCTCTGCCACTACACACCTGACTTCCCAAGTGCTGGGCTACAGCTGATTGTCTGAATCCTCTCTGAATGCTCAAATTAATTTTTTCCAGCTCTGGCCAGTTTCTCCAAAGCAGATTTACCTCCTGGGGGGAGAAGCACACAGGCTCCATGTGCCTGAGAGTTACAGCTCCATCAGCTCCACGTGAAGTTCATTCCACAAAATTCAAAACAAACTGCTTTGTTATGAGAATAGGAGGCTCTGGCCTTGAGTGTATCTCTAAGGCAATCCTTGACAGAGCGAATTGATATCTTTCAGTTCAGTCTCCCTGACACACATGGTACTCAAGCATTGCATTCTTATATATACAAACTCATTGAAATCACAAAATTCTCAAAAAATACCCAACAATAACAAATCCCCCCAAAAAACAAACAAACAAAAAAAAAACAAACCAAAAATTTGGTGAAGTACCTTTCATTTTTTCCCCCACAGGCATTCAGGTCAGCAAAGCCAACAATCTGCTACTATAGTTCATATCTTCTACTTAGTTACAGTTATGACTAACAGAACATGATGTTCTGATTTAAAAATAGATGTTTTATATTTGATTTGCTAATTGAAACTAGCATTACCTCAAAATGAGTGAACCATGTGTTTACAGCACATCTTCTATCCCTGTACACAAGCCTTCCTTTAAATCTGAATGATTACATGATGCTTTTCCTTACTTACAGAAATAATATGGAATGACTTAAAAAAAACCCCAGACTATGACACCTCTAGTTGCTAGACAGTTGACACCAAATTCCATTATTTTGTGTTTCAGTTTTGTGCAACTTAATAAATGGAGGAATAGCTATTTTCTGTTATATTTAGTTAGAATATACTCTTTGTTCCATGATTTTCAAGAATTGTCAGATCTAAGTAGTACAGCTACCACGTAGATGTCACCGCATATCACAAGTGGACTGCTACAAATGCCTCTTATAAAAGCTTCCCAATATCTCCCTTTCTGAGACTGGGCTTTACTAAACTTGCAGCTACCCTAGTTTTGGGGTTTGAACAGAATTTCCTACATCAAGTGTCTTTTGTGTGTCTCTCTGGTGGAAGGTTAATTCAGAACAGCTCAGTCTCTCCATGAATAAGGCCAAGGAAAAATCATGAAGCTTAGTATAATACAGTTGCCTACAGAAGAAAAAGTTAAGGTTGAAAAGGCAGCATTAAATTTAAATCTTTGGCCAAGAAAAACTAAAATTTAAGTCATTACTACAATTGTGGAGTCAAGCAGTGAGACTGGGAAACACTAAAGGCAAATACCTTAAAAAAAAAAAATTGAGGCAGAAGACTGTTTTTCACATGAGACTGTCACAAGGATGATGGTTGGTAACAGCAACATGGCTTTGGAAACAGAGTTTCAAAATCTCCCACCTAAAACACTAAGATCAGACTTGAAGGGAACATAGGTAAATCAAACTGGGAATATTCTCCACCAAGTAAGTCTAGAAATTTCCAGCTAGTCAGCAAAACAATACTAAGTTTATAATGGCAAAAGTCAAAGTAGAAATAAAGAAACCAAAAAGAAGCAACAAAAAAATCCACACAAGATTTTATTTATTTTATTTAGAAGTAAAATAAAACATGACATTTCCATCTAGAAGCCACTGGCATATGCTGCAGTAAATTCAAACATGGAGAGGTGGGCTTAGCTTTCAGATTCCTCCCAAATTCAGCTCCTTCCTTTTGCAAGCTCTGAGGACACAGCTGTTTAAGGCAGACGCTGGAGTTCAAGCTTGTCAGCAGACGGTGCTTCAAAGACATCATCTTCAACACTTTCTTCTATCGGCTTCATCTTGGCTGAAGTTCTCAGGTAAGGAGATGTTCGGCCTGGGCCTGTCACAGGTACAGAGAAATTACCAGTTAATTTAACAATGTACACCTGCTACATAGACCTATTTGTGACAACGTGGACACAGGCTGATGATCCTGCCTTAGTTGCTTCATGAGAGGATTTCTAAGTCAAGTTTTCTTTGTTATCTGGCCAGAGGCACCAGGAAATTCTAGACATGGAACAGTCACGCTGCTTTGAACCAGCAGTGTCTGTTGCTAACCACAGACACAGCACTCTCCCCAAGTTCAGTGCAAACCCTGACAGCTCAGGGTGCCCACTGCTTGCTCCCTGGAGATCATTTTCTCACCATTGCACTCACCCTCTGACTCGTCTCCAATTACAGCAACACGAGTGGCTGCCCCAAGTACAAAAGGTGTGGACATCTGCACAGCTACCTGGCTGCGGGAAAGGTTCCTCAGTGCACTGGGCAAACCTTGGATGGGCACAGCATCAAAGCCACAGCTGCCTTTAACATCATATTTAAGTCATAAGACATGCTGAGTTGGAAGGGAGTCATCAGGATCAAGCCCAGCTCCTGGCCCTGCACAGGACACCCCAAGAGCCACACCATGTGCCTGAGAGCACTGTCCAGACACTGAGACACAACACTCTTGAACTCTGCCAAGCTTGGCACTGTGACCACTTCCCTGGGGAGCCTACCCAACCAACCCCTGGGTGAAGAGCCTTATCCTAATAGCCAACCTAAATTGGCTATCCTAATAGCCAACCTAAACCTCCTCTGACACATCTTCCTGAGTTTTATGCAGCACGATAATGTGAAACTTCTACAAGATTTATACCCCCATAAACAACCACAGAGAAAACAATTTTTACAGGCAAAGGCCACATAACTTTTGACTGACAGTGATTTCACTGCAATAAAACTACCTTTTAGAAAGGCAGCAACTTGTCTGCCAGAGCAGAGCACACCACTGCTATCACTGTCAAGACATTAAATGGAGTTTTTGTACAAGTTACCCCTGCAAACTACCTCTATTGCAGTTAAATTTTCAGTATGAGGGTCAAACCAGAAAACTCCTTTTACATCAGCTGAACAATTCTACTTTCCATTGTTCACTCAGAAACCAAATCTACACGTGGACATGTATTTCTCTCAGTACCCTCTTCTAGAGTTAGACCACTGCAACAGTATGAGGTTGCAAACATCTAGTATATGATGACAAAAATATTATGGAAATCTTTGAATTTGAAAAGAAAACAGCAAGAAATAAAGGTCATACTAACCGACTGTTTGCATACAAGCTAAAAATTTAAATATTCTTGAAGAAAATACTGATAGCCATAATACTCTTATTTTTAAAAATGTTCATCAGATATAAAGTGCTGTGCTAAGGAAGCCAAATTATGAGGAAAGACTCATTTGCACTGTATGTGTTACACACAAAGAACAGTATACAGACACAGGCAACACCAGCAAGTTATGATAATACTGCATTTTTAAGCCACATTCACAAAGACACTGTTAGGAATTGGCATTTCAGAACGTTTTATGTTAAAAATGTATTAGCATTTTCTTTTGAGATTCAAAAACTACTTAAACTGCCATAATACACTTTTAGATACCAAAATTGTTAAATATTTATGTCCACATAGATGTGGTTTATGGCCTAAGAGAAGGATAACTAGATCAATTAACTGGCTAATGTACCCCACCCAAAGTCTGTGGATATATTTGGATATTAAATTTGCTTTTCTGGGAGACACACAAAGGTAAAAGGGTGCCTGAAAATGTTGAGTTATGGTTCCAGCTTCTTTTTTTTTTTTTGTAGATCTTTGTTTTAGTGTAGTTTGTTATTTTTAAAATGGTTTTCTTCTGTTTAAAACTACTTAATTCTCTCCAGAAAACAGAAGTGAGCAACCAGAAGTTTGTACAACAGGATCCAATATAAGGTCTAATTCGCTCAGCCTGTTTGTTCCAAAGACATGCTCTTATTTGCTCCAAATACAAAATTTTTTTACTGATGCCATTATCCAGTGTCAGACAGATGTTCAAGTGACTGAGTCAGACTTTCCTTTCACTACATTTTGTTGCCCTTTCTTGAGGGCCTAAACCAAAATACATACTAACATTCCTATGAAATCCAGTCCTGCTTTTAACCACAAGTGGGGAGCATATAATTTGATAATACTACTAAAAACATTACCCAACCAAAACCTTTTTACATTCCTGCTCAGCTTAGAAGTTAACAAATACAGATGCATAGACCAGCAAATCTGAGATACCTAAAACATAAGTACCACAGAAAAGGAGATTGTATCTCTAATAAATATGTGAATGGCTGTCAAGCAATAAAATTACAGAATAGAAACCAATAACAAAATATTATTTGAAGGACTGAAATTCAGGTGAAACTAGGCTTGTGATCAGGTTGAACTATTTTTGCTTAACTCAAATTTTGGAAAAAGAGATACCTCTATTTCACTTACTAATGAATTACATACAGATGGACCATGGATGTCAAGCACAAGTGTCACATGATAAACAAACCCCACTTTAATACCTTTTTGAGGATGCCTGCTGAGTTAATGTGATGTTATCAACAGAAAACATCATGCTGCAAACGACTCACTCCGTAAGCATTATAGAACTCTTGTTGGTTATTTCCTTAATACAAAAGCAAACAGTTAGTTTGGTTTCTTAATTAATTAAATTCAAAACATACCTTTGTTAGCAACTGTAGTTTGGGAGCTACTAGTTAGTAATTTTAACCCTTTTATTACTGAACACTTTGAAAAAGGATTAATATTAATTTCTTGAGAAAATGAGTCAAAGCGTATAATTTATAGCACTGATACAAGTGTAATTTTAGAAGATGGGATTATAAAAAGTATAAATGCTCATTTTTTTCAAGAACATGGAAATCAGTACAAGAAAACTAATTTGCATTATGGGAGTCAAAAATTATATTTGGACTAGGAGGCTTTTGTCCACACAACAATCACCTAGCAGTGACAAAACAGTATTCCTGTAGAGTTCCCACACATTGAATTAAGTTCCCTTCATTCATTTTTTTATTCTAATAAAAAAAAATAAAACTGTCATTTCCATGTTTCTCACAAAATCTTTTGGGGATTTTTGATTGTGTTTGTTTATTCTAAATAAACAAATGTGTGTCTGTAGAAGGAAGATCCAGGTATCAGCACTGGAACTGTAAACCTCAGAACATACCTTATACTAAATTTTGAAAAAACAGACAAAAAAATACCCTGACTGTTGCACTGAGAGCACCCAGCAGAAGGTTTTTGGAAATACAGCAGTGGCAACATAAATGGCAGATTATTTTTTTCTGTTTTCCCTGTGATCTCAAAAAAAGTGCATGCATGGCCACAATTCACACTAAATACAAATCTTTAAGTGGCAGCAGCCCCATCATTGGCAATGACAGTACCCAGGAATAATTAACAAGCTATCTTGGCAAAAACAAAGATTGAAGCATTACAGTTCAAGGAAATGAACAAACCTTTTTCAGAAGTCAGAAATTTCAAAATCAAAACACAAAGAAATAAATAACAATACTTCCCATGTTGTGTGTTGCACTGGTGTAGGGGCAATCCCTCTGCCTCCCCAGAAGTAAGGGAAAGTATTGGACTTGGGAGGCTGATGCCTCAGCTGGGCTGAGGAATTTCAGAACATAAAAGACACATAAACCACATAAACCCTTCTGTCTTGGGGAAAGCACACCCTGTATACCAAAAAAAAGGTACACAACCAAGGAAAAGTACAACAGAGAAAAGTGTATTTATCAAGTATGTGCTAAGCACAAATGGGGATTTATATAATTACAGCTGAACTTTGTCATGCATTTCAATTACTTTCTCCCAAAGCTGAAATACTGGTGTAAGAGTTTTGCTGCTAAGCCTGAAAGAGACATTTGAATTCTAACTAATCGCACAAACATAGTTTTACAATTTTTAAAATTTTTTTCTGAGTGTGCAAATTCACCCAAAGGCTCTCTATGCAAAAGAGTGGCTTCAATTTCATGGAACTCTGCTGTGTGTAGAACAGGTGAAAAGCCACTCGAGGGTTCAAAGGTAAAGATCAGAGAACAGACCAACACAGGAGACTTTGTGGCAGGAATCTGCTACAGGCTGCCTGATCAACAAGAGCAAGTAGAAGGCAGCAGTTCTTCAGCAAGTGGATCACAGGCCTTGGTTGTTGTGGGGAATTTTAACCACCCCTGTGTCTGGTGGAAAGGCAACAGGGCTGGGAGCAAGCAGTCCAGGAGATTTCTGGAACGCAGCAGGCAATTTCTTCGCGCAAGTGATGGACGAGTCAACTAGGGAAGGCGCTCTGCTGGACCTGTCACTGATGAACAAGGAAGAACTCATCAGGGAGCTGAAAGCTGCTGGTAATCTTGGCTGCAGTGTCCAGGAATGGGTGGAGTTTAAGATACTGAGTCATGTGCAAGACAAATAGTAGAATTACAGCCTTACAGGAAAGGGGGCTGCGGCTTGCTCAGGGTTTTACTTGGCAGGAACTAATGGGACATAGCCTGCAAAGGGACCCAAGATGGTTGATCTTCGAGAATATCTTCTTCAAAACACAAGGACAATCCATTCCAGTGCACAGAAAGCTGAGCAAGTACGGTAGAAGTCTGGCATAGATGAACAAGAAAGTTCTGACAGATCTCAAGCAGGCACACACAAAGTGTAAGTAGGGGTGTGCTCCTTGGAGGGAATACAGAACAATGGCCCAAGCATGCAGCGATGAAATGAGGGAAGCCAAACCTTAGCAAGACCTGGATCTAGCGAAGAGCAGCAAGAAAGGCATCTAGAAATAAACCAGCAACAAAAGAAAGACCAGGGTAACTGCGAGGCCAGAGTTCAATGATGCACAGGACACAGGAACATGAAAAAGTCTGAGATATTGAATAACCTTTTTGTTTTGTTTTTTTTTTACTTTAGAGGTTTGTCTGAGGCCTGCTAGGGCTCTACATCTAGTGGTAGAGACAGAGTGATGCTTGACTGACAGGAACCCTGGACTAAGCTAGGAACAACTTAAGTTGACAGGGTGAACACAAGAACCCCATGGAACTGTGGAATCCCATGGGCTGCATCCAAAGGTGCCAAGCACTGGCTGATACAATTGCAAGGCCCCCTCTATCATCTTGGAAAGATGATTGCAGTCAGGGGAGACAAATGAAAATGCCAACATCACACTCATTTTAATGAAGGGGAGGCTGGAACACCCAGGGAGCTACAAGTCTAGCAGTCTAAATTCATATCCCAGGAAGATTATGGAGCTTGTCTTCCTGAAAGCCATGTCCAAGCACATAAGGGATGGGAAGGTGACTGGGAAAGCCATTATAGATGCTGATTGCATCCAACCACTCTGACCACCTTTGGTGGTGAGATTATGGGCTCTGTGTATGAATGGAGTACAGTGGATGTTGCTTACATGGGTGGCAGCACAGCCCTCCACAGTCTGCCACTGAGTCCTTCCAGACAAATGGGTAAGAAACAGACTGAACAGACAGACTACAGCTTCAGTGGAAAATCTGCTGTACTGCCAAGTTCACAGGGTGGTGAACAGCAGTACAAAATCCAGTTGTCAGTAGTTAGTTACCAGCAGTGTTCTTGAGGGCCAATGCCAAGGCCTATAATATTCAAGATATGAATGACCTGGTTGATAGGATGGAATGCCCTCCTTCCAAGTTCACAGACAAGAGCCAGGTAGTGAGGGAAACTGCTGACAGGCCAAAGAGTAGGGCAGCGAGTCTGGACAGGCCATTGGAAAAAGAGAGAAGAACTGACAAAAAACTACAAGCTCATGAAAGGCAAATCGCTGAACCTGGGACATGACACACCTACACAGCATTACAGCTTAGGCCCCAGCTGGTTGGAAAGCAGCTTTGCAAAAACAAACCTGGGTGTCCTGGTGGACACAAAATAGAACGTGAGTCAGCAGAGTGCTCCCGCAGTGAAGTGTGCCATCCATATATTGGGCCACATTAGCAGCATGTATTGAGCCACATAAGCAAGAGCATAGCCAGCAGGTCAATGAAAGAGATTAATCCCCTCTCTCTGGCAATTGTGAGACAGGATCTGGAGTGCTGTGTCCAGTTTTAAAGACATGGAGTGAGAGCAGTGGAGTGCAGCCCAGATGGCCAGAGGATGCTGGAGCGGTGATGGAGAGGCTGCAGGAGCTGGGTGTGTTCAGCCCTAGGAACAGAAGGCCCCCAGGGCATCTGACTCTTGTCTTTGGCTACCTAATGGAAGGCAACACAGAAGAGAGAGCCAGACTCTTCTCGGAGGCATGTGCTAAAGAAAGAAGGAAAACAAGCATGAGTTGCAATAAGGGAAATTTTTTTCACTGTGAGGGTGGTAAGTCCCTGGAGCAGGTTGCCCAGGGAGGCTGGAAAATCTTCCAGCTTGGAAATGTTCAGAGCTTGACTGGACATGGCCCTGCTCTAGCTGATCTTGCTTTGGACATGAGGCCGGACCTGATGGTGTCTAGAGGTCTCTTACTACCTCAATGGTACTGTGACTCTGAATGTCCTTGCAGGGAATGGAGGAGAAGAAGAAAACAATACTGGAATTTTCATCAAACAATATCCCAGGTGTCACCCTTGATGTTCTAGTAGGATGAAGCACCAGCAGGGCTTTTGCTTCCATATATCTGGGCATGCAGACTAGCAATTTTAAGGAGTAAAACCAGATAAGCTCTCCAGGTCTGAAGGTGTTACTGGATGAAAACTGTGAGGAACACAATGGAAAACAGATAATTAAACAGAAAGAAGCAAATATTTGAAAACATTTCCTCTTCTTAGCAGAGACTTTAACCATAACAAATAATTGGCAGTGTTTTTTCCTCATATATTTGAATCCTAATTACTAAAAATAGTATTTCCAAAACTGAAATAAATAATCCTATATGATCCTTTTAAATGCTGTTAAACTAACAGCTTATGCCAAATGCAAAAACAGAGCATCCTCTGGGGCTTTTTTATTCAAACACTGCTTTCAGAATTCAGGCTAATGTTGATGTTTAGATTCAGATGAACTAAAAACAAACAACAGCAAAAGCCTAGAAAGAATAGTTTAGAATGTTTTCATAAAGGAATAAATTAAAAGAATAGAAGCAAAAAGGTCAGACATGGTTTATTCTCTCACTTCATCCGTTCTCTACTACTCCTGTCATACAAAGCACAGCAGAGAGCCTGACAGGATACTTGGAGATTTTCCAGGTGACATCAAAATATTGGTTGTATACCACATTCCTCCAGACCCTGCCAATACAAACTATCTCAGGAGGAAAAATAGAACAAGTTGCTGAGGGAAAATGTTTTGTTTGGGTTTTTAATTTCTACAAGCACCAGTGACAGACCAAAGGATATACTACTGTACCTTCAGTTTTGCCCCATTACTATAAATGTTCCACATTATATCTAAACATAAACATCATGCCAAAGATTACTTCTACAAGTGCTGGTTTTTTTTTTTCCAGTATGTGCATGAAGTATCTTCATTTAGAACACAAAGCCTCATGCATCTAATGATTGCCCTATAGTTAGGTCCCTTAATTTAGCTGACACAGCAGCACCCAAAAAGCTATAATCTGCTCCCACAGAGGGCAACAGGAGTTCTGCAGTAGTCTCTAATGGTCAGCCAGAGCCGTGTTCAAAACTGGCACAAACCACTCTGAGCACTCACGAAGAGAGGATGCAGAGGAAGTCCCACGAAGAAACATCTGCAAGCCATCCTCGCTGTCACTGGTACTGGCCATGCTGTTCCTCATCTGCATCACGGAGAGCTGAGAGCAAAGGCTGGGCTGTCGATCAATCTTCTTTGAAGCCTAAAAAAGAAAAAAAAAATTACTTTAAAAAAAGGTATCAAGCAAATTAAAATAAAAATGGAAAATTACTACTTCCCTTGTAATAGACGCTCTGGTCTCAGCCATGATTACACAAGAAAATTGTTATAGAAGAAAATTCTATGCAGTGTAAATCAATTTAAATGACAATAGAAAATGCCAGTAATATACTGGAATTGGAACATTGACAAGTATGAAACTGCATATTAATTATTCAATTTCAAATCGCTTTTGTACTGAAATTTTCATGTATTTTCTTACAGAAAGCTTGGGGTTTATTATGCGGTAATTCATTATTTAAACATGATGCTCTGCAATTAAATGTAGTCTTTATGATGAAGCTGGTCCTCCTTGCTAAACAAAACAACATGCTATATATAGAGGCAATTTATACCTTAACAGAAACATGTTCATTTTCCTGGCTTTTCATTCCATCCTGTTAGAAAGGTGGTGAATGTCATTCCTGCCCATTGGGTTTTGGTTTAACTGCAGAGTAAATGCATCAGGTGAACATTATCTTCCCCCTGTCAAATGGTCTGAGGAGCTTTCACTTTGCTTTAAGTAGCCTTCCAGAGAAGCCTTTATACTATAACATTTATATGAAGGCAAACATTGTACCTTGTTAGGCATTACTGCAAGTCAAAATGCTATTTTAGGTATATGTGAAAGGTAGCAATCCATGACAGGACTATAATGGATAACTCCACTTCACTGAATTTTAAAAGGCAGGAACTAGTACCCTATTTCATGCAGAAAGGAATGACTATTTTCCCAACACTAGTGAAAGCCCACTTAGGTAGGAGAAAATCACAAGTTTTCTTACAAAATAAATTATTACTTTTCTGCTTTCCAACAAAAAATTGTTAGTTTTATCTTCTTACTACCATCTTGAATATGAATAATCAGTACTCAATTAATTTTTGTAGTCCTCTATGTACAGAAGTCAACCACAACATTTTCTGATGACATTGACACCCATTAAAAGTCATCAAAGACACCAATAATATTTATATTTGAAAGTGAAGCTTGTGAGAGGTGATATGCACATAGAGTACTGGCAATGGGAAAATCAAGAATTTATTTGACAGGTCTCATGCCAAGTTATGCAGGAAGAGCTCATGTAACAGGATTTTTATTTTAGGAATAATAAAAAGATACTACAAATTTCCCAAATGCTCACTCAATTTTTACAACATACAGTTTCAAAACATACTATAAAAACCAGCTACAATAATCTTAAATTTATGTGACTACTGCAACTAAAACAAAGACTTGGTACAAACTGAAGTTAAAGTGTGCAGATGTTAAGTCAAAGGAGGGGCAAAATCTGTTGGATTTTTTAATTCTTTGAAATTGTGATAAGGAATAAATAAAGAGAAAATAAAACTAAACCAAGGTAGTTCATATACCCATGAGTACACCCAGACCACTTACCAGGACAACTAAAACTCCATCTTCAGGCAATAAATGAGTTGTATTCAGACCACTTAATGTTTAATATGTAATTATATTTATTTATGTTTTATATGTATTTCATATGCATTCAGTGGATTCATTACACTAACTGCCTCATATCAACATAGTGTTTGCTTTTTTCTTGCATTTGCAACCCTCAAAGACATATTGATACTATTCTTCCCAGCAATCAGTATTACATAACTGTTTGCCCCCTGTAAGAATTTTTTTTAAGAAAAAAACTGTGAAGCTTCTTTTTATAAAGGCATTCATTTGTTAGTGAGAAAGGATATCCAGTGAGAAACATCTTTTTAACCACTGGCCAGCATGTCTAACAGTTAGCTAGAAATATTTCCACAAGCTGATTAGTTCTGAATCTTAGTTACTCATCTTTCTTGTGCATTACTGTGCTAACTTTAATAAATATTGCTGGTGACAGAAATCTTGCACTGACTCACACCTTGACACTAAAAGGCCACAAATGTGCATTCAGCAGCTGATGGCCAGCAGGTTAAAATATGGTACTTTAAGAGCATTTAAAATTAAAGTAAAAACACATTTATTTGTATGTTGGAGGAAAACTCCCAAACAAAACTTAAAGTTTTTTACCTTGTCATTTAAGGTTGGGTCATTCAATGAATAAAGTTTATTTGTAATATCTTTGCCAATAAGGTACTTAAAGATCTCATAAAGAAATGGCTCAGACTCCAGAAAGTAAGTCAGCCTTTCCCTGGACCAGCACAGGAACTTGCAATTATCATCTGCAATAATGGTGACCTGAAAAAAAATACATGCTCAGAATTAGCACATTTAAAAATGTTTTAAGATGAGCACACTTAAATAAGCTTTAAAAGAAGTGATATCATTTTATTTGTGACTCCAGTTAAAATAACTCTTAAAGCCATAAAGCTTTTTGGTATCCCTTTGTTATGAATGTGATGCTTACAAATGTAAAAATTCTCAGCTATTTATTATCATTATATTTTTAACTGATATGTGTAGCCAGTTTGTTTTACAGAAAAACCGGGGGACAATAAACAGGGGAAAGTCCCTCATGAGTTCCCAAGAACTCATGTAAGAAGAAATTTATATGCGAAGTCAGTCCTAAGGTGATGGCAAGTACTTGCAGTAGGCCTATATATAGCTTGGTTTTATTTTACATCACTGTCACCAAATAGGAAAAATTGGTATCACCCAAAGGTCTACATCAAAGAGTTTTTAGTGATATAAAAAAAAAAAAATAAAAATTTCCATCTTCCTCTTAACTGTCAGCCCTGCTGATCCCACAAGTACAACCTTGTGTTGAGTTGAGCCAAGATTGTTTGCTCAGTTATTGATAATCCAGTTTTGGGTAGTTGCAGGGGACTTGCCCCCTCTCATGGGAGAGGATGGACTTGCCAGGTTCATGTCCCCTGTTCCAGCAGAGGGCAATGCCACACCAAAACCCACACTGGTCACCCAGGGGCAGGTTTTTCAAGGGGGAGTCAGGCATCTATGAATAAATCAAAATCAGGTGCTCTCTGCTTTTACAAGATAACATTACATCCTGGAAAAAAAAAATAAAAAATTAAAAATCCATTAAGTCGTAGAAACTATGGAAAAATGTCATATATCCATGGATTTTTAACTCCACAGACTGTAACATAAGCCCAGAGAGGCTGAGGAAGAATTCGCCAGCATTGCCAGCAGATGGGGTCCTTAAGACTGAATCCGTGCACTGTTGAAACAGGGAGGCTGCCGGCATTCATATGGCAGTAACAAGCAGAACACACGAATAAAGGATGTACACAGCTCCAGATTAAATAACTTCTAAGGCAGGCAGAAGCTGAGGCATGACCCTTTTCCCTTGAGAGGGACTGATTCCTATCCAGTTGCTTCCAGTGGAAAGGGGCTGTGCCAAGAGGGCAGCCAGGCTGTGGGAGGCCTCACTGCTGCAAAGTGAATGCATCTGGACAAGTCTCTCCCCCTGGCTCTAAGCCCAATGTTTGACTGGAACATATGACATCAATCACTGATTTTAGAGTCTGCACTGCTCTGCCTCCCTCCCCTTCTGCCACAGTATCAGTGTGGATGTATCAGTCACAGTCCAGTCATTATTACACATACCTAGCTAAAGAACATCAAGTAAGAGTAGCAAAATAGCCATTTCTATGCGGAAAAACACCCTTCTCTAAAAGTATACCACCCACTCCATAACAATAATAAAATATATTTAGCATACCAGCATAATTACACTGCTAGAGAAATATACCCTTATTGTTCCCTATATGAATATTTTTATTCAAAATACCGAGATAATTTTCAGCTCATCTTGCTTTAACAAAATTGCAAAATGACAGAAGTATTAATACACTTTCATAAATACCAATTTCTAATTACTAGTGCCTGAACTTCTAGACTTGCATTATTACAGTAGTTCTTTTTCCCTTTTCTCTTTTTGAACCAGTGATGAGACCTGTTCAAATCATCTTTTTCCATCAAAACTGCCTCTTAAATTATTTGTCCTGAACAAAGTCTTAACACAAAAGAAACTTGGAAACAGTGAAAGAGAACAGAATAGCAACAGCCAGACTGCCCAATACACACCATTCTAATACTGTTTTTCAGCATTTAAAAGTTACTCTTGATATGGTCCATCTTCAAACACTGATACTAGAAGGATAACAAAATTATGCGAGTCAAATAGTTCACCGTTGATCAAATTTGTACTCTATTTTTATAATGGTCTCACCAGCTCATATCCAATGGCATTTAAAACAAAGTGTACCTGGAATTTCTCACCCCGGTTCATCTGTGTCGATCGAAATTCAGGAGAATCTATAAAGGCACAGGGGTAAATATTATGCAGAAAATGGCCTCGATAAGACACCTTCATTCTGGAAATAAAAATGTATGAAACAACATTTTAAAATCGTGGAGGCTGATTAATTCAATCAAAATTTAGGTAGGACTATTGTCAATGGTAAAGCAGAAGAATTGTCAGTGGTAAAGCAGAAGATAACAGGAATAAATATGTGCATCTTCTGGAGCATAACTCCCAGAGCCACCCTGTTTTCTGCCTAACTGATTCCAAGCAGAACAGGCTGCCAGACAAATAGAGACAAATAGAGAATTGATGAACATGGCATGTATCCACCAAACACTGTTATTCAGTAGGAGAAAGGTCGTGTTACACAGCCAGACCAGAATCAGCATTCCCTTAGATAAGTAGCTTTGTGGTAATGAGTAAGAAAAACAGTGAAGCCTGACATCTCTGTTGCTGTCAACAGAAACTGGTTAAAATATTGACCAGAGTTCAGCATGAGTTTTAAGATTACAGCTTGGCTGTGGGCATATATTTTACCCTTTCTCACCTGGATTCTGTCTGCCTCTGGGCAGTGCATCTGCCCCTCTCTACTTGTAGGTACAAGTGCAATGAATCAGTTCCAAAGGCCTGCTGTTTTAAAGCTGACTGGAGAGACACTTCTTCCCTCATGAACCATATTTTTTAACCTTTAAACCTGAGAATGGACTGAGGAGACAACTAGGGTATCTAAGACTCAAACAAATATCTTGCTTATTTTGCAAGACACTGCCTTTGGTATTACACAAACAGAATTCCCACTAAAATCCATGCAGCTGCACATGTAAGAGGATACACAATCTGCTCCCAGTAAGAGATATCACTGTCACCTGAAAATGGTGTCACAAAACAGTCTTTAAGAATAGACTATTTGACTACAGACCATAACATACTACAAACAATTGCAACCTCAACCATTTTGTAATTTATTCAACCATGACACAAAGCATACGACTGTCCCCAAGTTTTTATAGAACCTACTTCCCCTTCAGCAGGATGCTTAGCCTATCATCAACTGATGTTTTATCTTCTGCTGCATAGGCTTGACCTGTCTTCAAAGTCTGAATGTTGCAGAATTGTCCAGTTAGTCTTTGGAAGAGCTCTGGAGGCACATGGAGAGGTTCAAACATTCTCTTGTAGAGGCTGCTAAGCTCCTTCTCTATCTTGATCTAGATTGGAAAAACAAGAGACATCAACAACCACAGATGCATTAGTTAAAAACAGGTAAGACTGCACACATTCCAGAGGGACATCTTTGGCTTCATGATACTTAAGCAAGGAAAGAAGTGGTAAATGTGTGATGTCTATCCACAAACACTGCCTATGACAGCATGACCAAAACCTTATCTAAAATTAGCCAGGATGGCACACTGGTGCTTTAGAATGCTGATACATCCAAGTGGCACATTACATCTCACACAAGAGTCTTCTGAGATGTCTGTTGATGAAACAGTGAATAGTACTTGGGCAAGATTTATATAGGAAAAGAAAAAAAAAAAGAGGTTGTCTTTCACACTGCATGCACGCATCACTGTGGCTAGCTGTGGCTCTCCTGGGAGCCCCTCTCATCCCTGAGCTTCTTGGCTTACTTGCAGTAGAAAAGCAAGTCCTGAAAAACAAACCAATTATATTGAAACCACATGTGATGAGGGAGAAAAAAAAAAAACCAAAAAACATTGCCAGCTGAACATCCCACATCTAAGAGCCCACCCAAACTCGGGCAGCAGCAATGAGGGAAAGGATGTTGGCTGAAATCCTAAGCCTGGAAGCCTTCCCTGGATGAAGGAAGCAGGGGATAAGACTATATTACAGCCTTCCTGAAAGCAAAGGCAGCCTGAATAAAGCCTGCATATTTGCCATGAGGAAGACAAATTAGAACAATAAGCATCAGATAATAAAAAAAATTTAAAAAATATACATAGAAGAGAGAATAAGGAAAAACAACCAAGAAAGAATGGCAGAAAAGAACACAAAGAGGCAAGTTTCTGTTCAACTCTTCCTCCAGGACCTGCAGGTCCTTTTCTACAAAGCTGCCTTCCAGCTGGTCAGTAGGTGGCATGTGCTGATGCATGGGGTTATTCCTCCCCTGGTGCAGTACTCCACAACACTTCCTGTTGAATTCCATGAGGCTCCTGTTGGTCCATTTCTCCAGCCTGCTGAGGCCCCTCCAGATGGCTTCCCAACCTCCTGGCCTATCAGTCACTCCTCACAATTTTGTGTCATCAGGGTTCACATGTGCCCCACCACTCAGATCATGAATGAAGATGTCAAACAGCACTGGACTAGCACTGGCCCCAAGGTTACACACCACACACTAGCGAATATGTAGTGCACAGCTCCAGCTGGACTTCTTACCTCTGATTACCACACTCAGAGCCCTGCCATTCAGCCAGATTTCAATCCATGGTGTCCTCATCCAGGCCACACTTCAACAGATCCTCTATCAGGATTTTATACAAGACAGTGTTAAAAACCCTACAGAAATTAAGGTTGAGGATATTCACCATTCTCAGCTATCTGGCCAATCATTTCATCATGGAAGGTTATCATAGAATGGCTTGGGTTGAAAGGGACCTTAAAGATCACCCAATTCCACCCCCTCTGCCATGGACAGGGACATCTTCTATGAGACCAGGTAGTGTCAGAGCTTCAGCCATGAACACTTCTAGGGATTGTGAGTGTGCAGCTTCTCTGGGAAACCTATTACAGTGCTTCACCCCCTTCACAGTAAAGAATTTCTTCCTAATATCTAACCTAAACCTACTCTCAGTTTGAAACCATGCCCCCTTTATCCTGTCACTACATGCCCTTGTAAAATGTCCCTCTCCATTCTTGTACTTTTCCTTCCAGTACTGGAAGCCTGTAATCTGGCCACCCCAAAGCCTTCTCTTTTCCAGGCTGAACAACCCAAATTCTCCCAGTCTTTCCTCATAGATCAACTTTTCTATCTCTGTTCTCAAGACCCCAGAGCACTCCAGGTGGGATCTCATCAGAACAGTCACTTCCCTCACCCTGTTGGCCACACTGCTTTTGATGCAGCTCAGGATAGAACTGGATTTCTGTGGCTGTGAGTGCACATTGCCAGGTCATGTCCAGCCTCTCATCCACACCCAAGTCCTTCTCTGTAGGGCTGCTCTCAATCTGTCCATCCCTCAGCCTGTGTTGATAGTGAGGGTTGCCCCAGCCCAGGTGCAGCACCCTGCACTTGGTCATGTTATATTTAATGAGATTTCCATTGGCCCACTTCTCAAGCTTGTCCGAGTCCCTCTGGATGGAATCCCGTCCTTCAGGAGTGTCAGACAACTCAGCTTGGTGTCATCTGTAAACTTGTTGAGGGCATACTCAATCCCTTTGTCTGTGTCATTAATGAAGACAGTAAATAGCATCAGTCCCAATACAGACCCAAAAAGGACATCACTTGTCACTGATGTCCACCAGGACTCTGAACCTTTGGCCATTACCCTCTGGAGGTGACCATTCAATCCGTTTCTTATCCATCTATTATCAGGTTGGTTAAGCATGACTTCCCCTTGGTAAATCCTTGCTGACCACTCTTCATTACCATCTTGTGCTTCACACGCATAGAAATGTTTTCCAGGACTATCTATTCCTTCTTTTCAGACATCAAGATGAGGCTGACCAGGCTGCAGGTCCCTGGGTTCTCCTTTCTGAAGAAAGGAGTGGCATTTGCGTCATCTGCTCCTCAAACATTTCTCTCTATCATCACCCCTTCTTCCAAGACTATCAGGACTGCCCTTGCAGTGACATCAGCTCTTGAGGCTGTGTGACATCAGGACTTGTGGACTTACTATGTCTAGTGCATCACCTGACCTAAAGTTACACTGGTTTCACACTGAACCAATTACTAGTTAAATATTCCACAAGCAACTGCACTCATGAAATCCAGGTTTTGAATTTCCTGTATGCTCCTTATGCCACAATCTTTAATCCCTCAGAGGGCATCTACACAGACAAAACAAGGATTAAAAACAAACATACAATTTCTCTTGAATTATGTTATGGATTGTCCCGAGATGTTTGATTTAAAAATACATTCCATATGCCCACAAAGCTAGATGACTGTTTTACCAATCATGTTCTCTAGGAACTCTTTCATTTTTAACAGCTGTACCAATTTAATTTGCACCTCTTCCTATACATGACCACTGCAACTTAAAGAAATATGTTTTCATCTGAAAAAAAAAGAACTTACGTAGCTCCCAAGACTCCTGAAACCCAAACCCAGGCACACAGACATGAGGGCATATTTTGGCCCTGGAGTGTTAATCCAGCCACTCAACTAGCACATGGTTCACATCTCATGATCTTCCTCTAGTGTGCAATACTTTGAGGGGAAGGCAGGTGTAGCCACTTTCTTAAAGACTGATCAGATTGCAGGCTGTAGCTGTGCTTTAGATGGGCTCCTTTATAACAGACCTTTCCCCCTTCCCAAGCACAGCTGACTGCTCCTCCAGTCATGCTTGTGGGTCATATTCCAAACAAGCCATATGGGTAGGTGTAATGTTTTGTTCAGCAGGGGTTGAAATATTCTGGGATGCTGCCAGAACTCCGAGTCAGACTGATTAGACTCAGCTTCCACTCTGACTGAAAAAAGCCAAATTTGTAAAGCTCCAAGGAATCAAAACCACTGAAATAATCTTCTGGTAAGAAAAGAAACTCACTGTGATTTTGCACGCTTCATTTAATAAAATAAATATTTAACAACTGAACATATCAATTATTCATTTTGCAATATGACTAACTTGTAATTATTCTGCCATTCCTTTCTTTCCTAGGAAAGATCTTTTGTGAGAATTACCAAAACTGATTGAGATGGGCAATACAATAGCTGCAGAAAGAAAATTTCATTCAAAAATTAGCTCCTAAGAGTCTTAAATTTTTTCCCTATTCTTTGTCCTCCTGTAGGAAAAACACTTAAAACAGCCTTGGGGTTCATAAAAAACATGTTAGACAGCTCAAAAGACATCTATCTAAGAGACTATCAGGCATCACTTCAAGGATGCTCATTGATCATGGTTTGTAACAAAGATTCATATTTTTTTTAATGATTACTGAAAATATTATGTATTACAGCAATTAAATAACATTTTCCGTGCAATGTTCATAAATACTGTACTTTCTCAGTGGAGAGAAGACTATTGAAATTAAGCCTTAATGTGCAAAGAAACAGCGCTACCTGGCTAGCCTAACAGATCTAATTTTTGGCTGAGCTTTTAAGCTGCACAGGTCACATAGCACAGTTGATGGTAATCTTTGGGTGAATTGGTGTTCCCTGTTTGAGGAACACTGCTGTAGGTAGAGCCTCTTCCTTTTTTAACACATGTACTCAATTTATCAACTTGTTGTAGACAGATGCAGTTTAACCTTTAGCCTTTTATAAGGCTGTAGCTGCCAGCCAGAGTGTGAGCAGTGCAGAGTTTATGGGAGTGCCAAGCTCCTCGGCTCTCTGCTGGTTACACTGACAGTGGGCAAGGGCTACAGAAAGAGAATCCAAAGTCAAAGGCAGGTGCTCCAGGCCTCCCTCTCTTAGATGGAATTTTTTACCAACTTTGGTGACTGAGTTTATCAGTCAAGTTTCATATCCTTACACAATTCCTTCTTTTTGTATCCACCTACAGAGTACTTCAATCACTTCTACCACTTAACCTAACTCTTACAAATAATTCTGCTAACAAATTTACTAGAGGATTTAGTGAAAATTGCTGCCTCTTCAAAAGGATAAAATCTATAATGTACAAAGTACCCCAATCTATGCCAACACAGATTTTAGCAGACAACTGTAATTACAAAATTTTCTTTCTTCATTCAGTATTAATTTACAGTTTTCACTCACCAATTCTGTTTAGATTTTTGGAGAGGGTTGGATGGGTACAAACTCAAGGACCATTACCTATGTTTATTCACTTTTAAAATACAGGTAAATTTAAAGGCTTGGTTTCCCAGGGAAATGGGTTTCTATCAGCTGAGCGCTCCTGCCTTTTGCAATAATTTCTGACTTTGGTGACCATTTCCTGTGCCATCTGACAGAAGATTAGAAGCCTCAAGATTTATTAAAAAGGTAATAATTTAAGGTAAAAAATAAGTAATGATTTATTAAAGGTAATAATTTAATTGGTAGTGGTGGAAGGGGGTGATTTGAAGGGAAACAGAACATGCTAATTTGGTTGGACTGAAAAAACTGCAGATGAATTGATCCCATATTAGAAACCAGAGTACCTGCATGGGATATTTAACTGTGGACACCTCCAGAGTAGGTAGAGTCAGGCCTCACTAGCTCTCTGTTATCACAACTGCTATTTGTGTGTGTGCTGGACAGCATGGCCATGGCTACCCAGCGGAAATACAATGCAGTTTCATCATGTGCTGCATCTCAGTGGTGACAAGAACGGATTGAACAGGCTGAAAAAACAGCATTAGTAATACTGACTAAAGAGGAAGTTGCCCTTTAAGTAGTAAGGTGATTCTTCAAGAGCAGTTTGAACTAGAAATATTTACTACACATCTACAATTTTCTAGTAACAGTCTAATTAGTTATAAGCTACTTCCTAGGCAAGACAGAAGTCAAGTTTTATGCTGCCTTGCCAGCTGATTTCTTAGCTGCTTTCTTGCACAGGTGGTGTTGAATTGGTGAAGAGCTTATTTCCAGTTAGGCTTTGTTTTCTCTGGGTTTTTTTTTGTACAAGTTGTTTGCACACTTCCACTGTGATTTTGGGCCAAACCCAAAAGTATTCTAGTCAAAATGTGTACTAACCCATTGATTTTTCTCACAAAACAGGGGCAAAACTTCCTTTTCTTGCATTTAACTAGGCTGCTTTTGAGATTTAGCTGTTATACATACCGGTCTTCTTTTATACACTAGGTATATGAAATGCAAAAGGTTGACAACCAAAAACACAGAATTCCAGATCATTATGTCCAAGGCACAACGATAGAGTGTAGCCCAAATGATGAATAATGCACATCCTGTTAAAAAAAAAAAAAAAAGAGGAGGAAGTTAAATTTCACCAAATAATAAACACTCCTAGAAAACTACCAAGAATGTGTCCACTGAGTATAATTACACTGAAAAGCAATATATTCTACAAACTTTAATACAGTTAAGCTCTCTGGATGAAGGTATGCAACAATAGCTTATCACTGCAATGCTGCAAACAGGCACTGAGGGCAGGTTGACAGACTGCAGCCCTATTACACGGGACTGCAATACTGAAATGACAATAATTTACATCAGGATGGGGCAAGCAGAAAGGTGCAGTCCATGAGGATTCGTTACTGAAACGAAGTAGAAAAGAGATGGGGGAAATTAGGCAGCTCACAAAAATTTGCGTTGCATTAATTAGACAAAAAAAAGGCCTAGATATGAATGTTCACATCTAATTAGCAAGGAAGAGTTGAATAAAAACTTCCTAAAGTCATACACAGATACTTTTGAAAATTAAAAGAAACTATTATTGCTGATGTGACAAGGTCACATTGGGAACCTGAAGTCTCCTGTGTAACATCAAAGACAAAATTTATCAATGCTTACTCTTTTTATTTAGTTGTCTTACTTTGAATAATGACACTTGCTTTAAAAGATAAGGCATCATGTATGATTAGGGATTCCATTTCCAGCCTACAAAGACAGTATTTATCAAATGATGGATTACGTATTAGTGAGTCTCTCCCAGATAACTGTGAGCCTACCATCCAACAGAGATGGCTGGAGAGGTCACAGATGTAGCTCCCCTTAAGTTTGCTGCAAAGACAAAAAGGAGACAGTGCTAAATGAGTCTTCTTACCCCCTTTCTCCCTGAAGATGACATCAACTTAATGAACTTGGTACTATCTGGTCTGTCCGGGTTCTTAACTGATGAGGCAGCACTTAAATATGGATTAGAAAAATCAAACTATAGCGAGTCTGGATCAGCTTATTAGCTTGGCTGCAAGGCACAGCAGGATAAGATGTCTGGATGTATCGAAGAGCAGCAATATTGCAGAGCAGCACAGAGGTGGGGCAGGGCCAAAGCAAAGGGAACATTTCCCTTGGCCTCACTACTCGCTCTGCCCACTGAGTAAATCATCTTCCTGCTGCCACTCCAGCCTGCAAAACTCTGGTTCCCTATCTGCTCAAAATACTACAGATCAAAATGGCAGGCTTGGCAAGTGCAAACCTCCTTTTGCTTTTAAAGCCAAGATAAAAGGTCTTGCAATGCTCAGACCCTTGGTCACCAGTGCAGTCTGTTTTAAGAAGTTACCCTATAATAACTATAAAATAGAAAATGCAAGACCATTGTAAATTCAAACAGTTCTATCATAAAATTGACCCATACTATAATGCCAATAAGCACTCATTTAAAAATACTTAAGCATGCACTTGTTGGGCTGGATTTATCCTTCTTACACTGCAATGAGTCATTATTCCTCCTTTGATCACAAGGATCTTGTCCCACACAAGGTACAGAGGCTTTGAAGTAGCTGTGGGACTGCAATGTTACAAATCAAACCACATTTGCTCAGTCTCAAGCATGCCAAATTTAGGTTTTCCTCTCAAGTCAGACTCTGGTGTCACAAGATTCCTACAGTGGTAGAAGAAACACGACTGATATCAGAACACAGAATAATACACTCCCCATTGAAAAGCTGAACTTCTAAATCAGCAATGAAAATAATGCTGGTGACCCACAAGTGCCACATGTTTGAACCCACACTAAAAGAACACATGGGCTCACAGCAAGCTTCTCAAGGAAAACCTCACCTACCTCAGACACACTAAGCCAGTGCACCTGTGCAAGTACACAGTCCCAGTACTTACTTGAAATCTAAAATAAAGGTCTTAATGATCAGACATAACTGATTGGAAATAAGTGGATTTTAAACATCCAGTTACATCTTATGTAAATGATGTCCACTTGTTTTCAAGCAGACATCTTCATAGGTTTGAAATTACAAATTACAGTTCCAGGAGGTTTTAATAGCCAAGGGTTATATAATCTTTCTAGAAAAGGTCGAAACAGATCCTGTCTTAAACCAAAACCACTGCCATAAGGGCACAACAGCCATTAATAAAGGCAGTAATTTCACCACAAGCTGCAGGGAGCAGCTCCATAATGGTCAAACCCAGCCATTTCTGTCACATTTCTGTCTCCAGAACAATTCTCCTACCTACAGTGAGCAGGCCTCGCAGAAGAATCATATGAAGATTCAAAGTAGTTGGAATGACCAGTCCAACTGCAAAGCAAATGTTTGCCACGTGAAAAACAAGATGATGAATCTCTTTCCAGTTTTCACATGCAGTCTCATTGAGAGGATCAAGAGTGGAATTTTTGAAGTCTGGAACAAAACCTAGTGGGGTAACGGTGAGTGGGCTCATTGCTGTAGTATTCATCTTGGAGACTCCTGCAAGAAGAGGAGAAAAAAATTCACTATGCAATAAACTGAAACACAGTAGAAATACATATGCATTTTAGGATTATTTTCTCTCTTCTCCAGATATATTTTCCATTATCATGAATGGAAATATATATATATATATAAATGCTTTAAAAGGGTAAGCTAGGTCTATAGTTCAGTAGTGCTTTGCTATCTCTTTCACTGAAATCATAGCTACCAAAACAGAGACTGCTAAGTCTGCAGCCAGGCATTTAGGGAAATCACTTGGTCTACACAGTTTGAACAATCTTGCAAGACTGTGTGTGGAACTCCTGGAGAAAATGAGACAGCTAAAGACTATTTCTAATCTAAATACACATAGGATGTTTTTGTTGTTGCAGTAATAAATATAGCACATATACCTTTTGCCTTGATTAAATGGAAAAAAAAAATCTGTGGGCAAATCCCAACACGAAACAAAAAATTACTATTAAAAACAAGCTACAGGGAGAAACTGGAAGATTTCAAGACACTATCTTTAGAATATTAAAAGCTGGTCTCTCCAGGTAACTGCAGTCAGTGTTAAAAGCTCTACAAAGGATCCTCAACCCAGATCAGGTCTCAGCTGAAGGAACACGACTGCTCCTAGACATGTCTGCTATCAAACACAGGAGAGCCCTGATTCCAGCATGTATGGTCTGCCACAGCAGTAGAAATTATATGGACGTGGGCTTGAGTCTCATTAATGAGCTATATGCAGTTCATCATTGAGCAAACAAGCTCCATAACATACAGTGAAGCGGGATTTGCATTCAATTAAATTCTGTAGAGACAGTGAACGTCCCTGATGTGTGTCATCACTAACTGCCATGTAATTCATCTGCTCAGTAGATGATTTTGGGTCACAGTTAATACACTCTATTTCCTGCAGACTCGATATATATACTCTGAAGCATCCCTGTTAATTTAGTGTTTCTTGGCCTGTGAAATAAATTTGAGTTGCTTCATCCCTCCCTTTTATTATTTTCTCATGATTAACCTGTGTATAGACTGTAAGCAAACTGGACAGTTTTCAAAATTAATCAGTGTTTTAGACCCCTTCTGAAAGCAGTGGGATGAAAGAAATCCTCAACCCTGAAAGCAGTGGGAAGAAAGAAATCCTCAGCCCTCTCTTAGAGTTCATCTCCTATGCCCAGAGCCTGTCACAGCTAAGGTACGCTACAGAATGTGCAGAGGCATCCTGCAGGATCAAACACTAGCACAGATGGAGTATATCTACATCTGGATTGAAATGATTTTCAAGGAAAAAAAATTATCTAATCCTAAATATCTAATCTAATCCAAAATACACAATTTTCTTATTTCTTAAGCTATCACTTTCCTCTTTTCATTCCTACATTAGTTATTCACAAAGATTAACTGAAATGGGGAGGTTTGTCATAAACTCCACACTTAACTGTCAGCAAACATCGGGCCTATCCAAACACACTCCTGCTTTCTTTCAGCTCTTTGACACGAGTTCATTGAGAGCCATTAGAGCAGTTTCACTGTCCTGACAAAGGCACTCACACAGTGAGCCAGAGCCTGAGCCCGTGCGAGGCTGCAGGACTGGCATTTTAACGTGCTCATAAACAGGAGGGAATTGCTAACTGGATAACTATGTCTGTGCTCATCTTACACACAGCTCATCTGGTGCTCCTGTTGTTTCCAAACAATATAAACTCCTTACACTGGAACAGCAGGATCTCTAGATCTTTTTAAAAAAACAATCGCCTGAGTTTCTACCTATATTCAGCCTTTCACTGCCCAGTCACCTGCCAGTAAAGGCACCACTTAAAATGCCAAAAAAACAAGTAAAGACAACCAAACTCACACACAGATACAGAACCAGCCATTAAGTCCTTCAACTCAACATCAAAAGAGGCTGCAAGAAGTAGTTTCAGCTGCATCAGATCACAGGTCAAAGCAGCCTTCCAGATGCTTGATATTTTTTATTAGCAAAATTTTGTACTGCTCCACTGTGGGAATAGAGGCTGCCTTCCCATTTCGACTCAGCTCTAAAGCATCATACATTAGAAGACAAGAAACCCAGTGAACCAATGAATTAAATATACAGCACCTGACAATCTCGTTCTCCTCACAGCCCAGCCAAAACACTGCTCCCCTTGCTCTTCACAGACACTGACACAACAAATCACCAGCCATAAACTGAAATAATGGGAAGGGGTTTCTCCAAGTGTTGATCAAGCAATTTAAAGCTTCTGCAGTTGTAAGAGGTTGTTCAGTGCTTTCAAAGGTCAGGCTTACCTACTAGATTGCCTAAATTAGAACCCAGGAACTTAAATCTGCTCACCCCCAGTTTTTATCAGCTTTACTATCGCAAAGTCTTTATAGGAATACCTTTGAACTTCACTTACTACTTACAAACAATAATTACAGCTTCCCTAATATACTGGAAACAGCAGAAATGGGGAACTTCTCCATCACGGTGGTATTTAATAGCTGACAGAAATAGATTGATGCTATCTGCAAAATGACACAAGGACAGACTAAGACACGGGCTCTGAATTTCAACTAAGGAAACTGCTTTGAGGATCAGGAGAAAAGGCAGACAGGCAGAGCTACAAGCTGTGACAAAGTGTTTGTCTACAGGTAACACCTGAAAGAGAGATATCCAAAATGTCAAAAAACAACAACACTGTAATTTTTTTAGATGAATTCTTTAGTCCTAGAATCTACTGCGGACAAATAATACTGAAGAAGGAGGGTAAAGTCTGCAGTTCCACAAAAGAGCAAGCAATTATCATTTTTTATTTTCTGTGACCTCAGAAAGCTAAAAATTAATTTTGAAAGTACAGATTTGTGCCCCTAAAACTTTAATTATGTCTCCTAAGGATCAATATAGCACAAGACTACTTAGTCATATGTTTAAGTCTTCAATGCAAAGACATGCATTACTATCAGGACTTAAAAAAAAACAACCAACATAGTCAAATAATTTTGAAAAGTTGGGATAAAATAGCATCTACTGAAATGAAAGTGTTTTGGGGCACAAGACAAATCATTAAAAGAACATTTTTTAATATCCAGTGTATATCCATCATAAGGATTTAGATTTACCAAACCAAGAAATTGAAAATTCAGATGATTGACAACTCAAGACAATTTGTTGCTCAAACAGGAGGGAAAAAAGAGGATATATATAAAAAGAAAAATACACTGACTCTTTAATATTGAACCTAACTGAAATTAGTGTCGTTTTCAAAAAAAGCCTATTAAAATACTTTTTGTACATGAACTTAATAGAAAGTTAAAGTAAAACATGGTGGTCTTAGGTCAGAAAAATACAAATTCTCAGACTATAAACAAGATGAGCTTATTTTAGGATTTTGCTATACTCAATGACAGCTTTATACAGGAGACCAAACTTCTGAAAAGCATTCCCAAAAGATTTAGTCCACAAATATTCAGACACCAAGATGACTTTGAAAAAAGTGTGAATTTTATGGATACCTAAACAACATTCACAGAAGACAGACATAGCAGAAAGTTGTAAAGCATTTGGTTCTACTACAAGAAGCAGTCAGCCAAGCTGATACAGGACAGTGCTGAGTGTCCCACTTGTGTCCTTACCCACTTTGTTGAGATTATTCATATCCCACAGCTTTACTGATCAACCTTATTCAAATGAGCTTAAATCTTTACTTGATGTGTGTTTCTATAACTTTGCAGTCAATGCAATTTAAAAAAAAATAAATTAATTATACCTGCAGAACTTTAAACTACTTTTCTATGGTCATACAACACAGAAGCTGCATAGAGATTTTAGGCAATAATTCTTTTGTGAGCTGAAGACAAACTACTGGAGTAGTTTATAACTGAGTTAATGACAGTTTAAGTTACCAATTTCCTCTTTTACAATGCAGTAGGAACGAATAGGAAAGTGGTTTAAGAAAACACGTATTTCAATACGCTCCTTGCGGCAAGCCCCATTCAATTAAACGCGTCAGTAACTACAGAAATTTGTTACTCTCTTCAGTCACTTTAATCAGGCGAAAATTTAACAACATTTTCATTCTTCACGGCCAACAGAGTATCCTCCCCGTGAGAACACCTTTCCCCGGGTGGAGCGGAGCCGAGGGTGTGAGCGCCTTGGGGCTGGCTCTCCCCTGCGCTTCCAGCGCTCCCGAGCCAGGGCAGGACCGCAGCTGCCAGCCCGCAGCCCCGCGCCGCTGCTTCCTTTCAGCCCGCAACGCGCCGACGCCAAACCCACCCTTTATACAAAATTATCGTCAAAATCATTTTTTAAACATTGAAAAGAATCGAGCAACCGGTCCCTTTTCCCTCAAAAGAGCCACTTCGAAAGCTGCAGCCTGTCCCTGCGCCCCGAGGGCAGGGCGCAGGCGGAAACCCCGGTCCCGGGGAGCGTCCCAAGGGAACGGGAGACCAGGGACGGCACCGCGCGTTCTTCTGGCCGGGCAGCCCCACAGCGGAGTCTGGCTCCCGGCCCTCCTGCCGCCGCCGGTGGAGCGGCACCCCGGCCCCGCCGGCTCCTGCCGCCGCCCCCCACCCGCGGGAGGAGCGCCCCTCACCTGCCCCGCGCCCGCGGAAAAGTTTCCCGGCCGCCCGGACGGGACGGCGATGGCCCGGGGCTGCCGCGCGTGGCCGCCGGCGGTCCCGGAGCCGCGGCTGTGACTAAAATAGGCAGAGGAGCCGCGGGAGCTGCGGGCGGCGCCAGCGGGGCCGGCACCGAGCGGCCGCAGCGCGCAGGCGCCTCCGCCGGCCCCGGGGCTGCGGGAGGGGCGGGAGCGGCCCCGTACCCCCTGCCGGCATCGGCACGGACAGCCCGCCCGGGCCGGGACCGGCCGCTGCCCGGCAGCGCTCGAGAGAGGCGCCTCAAACAGCTGGGGAGAGCCACGGCGCTGAGGTGCGGCCGTGCCCCGCAGCCAGAGCCCCGCAGCCAGAGCCCCGCGCCCGGGCAGCCCGCCCAGCTGTCGGGTGGTTAAAATTAGAAGGGCTGAATTCTCCCCTAAACCTGTGACAAGTGGTATTGCCCCTACATGGTGTGTCGAGGAGCCTCAACAGCCTTCATAAAACTGCTCTTCTCAAGCCGGCACCTGCTGCGGTTGCTTGGTCACGAGCGTGACGTTTAAGAAATGCCACCAAGTTTGCTCGTGTGGCAGTGTGACAGCTCCCAGAAACTTCGTGCTTCCAAAGCGGGACGTTTCTGTCCCCGCATCCCGGCATCGGCTCTGCCCGTGTCCCGGCCAGCCCCCGCCGGCACTACCCGTCTTGCAGGACACGCAGAGCAGTCACCGAGCGTGCCTTCATCCCCAGGAGGCTGACGAGTAGCATTCAGTGAGGAAAGGCATTCCAGCCCATCTCAAAACGTGACTAGCAATGATAAATGAGGACTGCCAAGGCAGAAAAACCCTTTCAATACATTCTGATGAGCTAGCTACAAAGTGGGGCTTTCAGCAGCCAAGAGCATATGGTCAGCATTATTTTTAAATATTTTTGGGGAGCATACAGAATCCCAACTTGTTTTTCAAGTAACAGTTTATACATGTACACATCAACATGTGCCTGAGAAAGCCCTGCCTTTGCCACAGATATTCTTGGTTTTGCACCTTGGACAAGAGATCAGGATCTCTTCAGGAATGTGTGCCAAGTGAACAGCGGTTTTATGAATCCCACTGCCTCATATAAGATCTGATTTTCACAAATATATTATGAAATAATTATGAAGGACTCGATTTGGCACTGTTTCCTCCGACTGGCCAGCCATTTTTATGGATACACCTTCTCTTTCCTGAGATATGCAGAATAAGTGAGCTGGAAAAAGGGTAGGAAGATTGAGTGGGGATAGCATGGCTACAGGAATGGTCACGAGCGATAGCATCTAGCATGTGTTTGAGGTTGACAGCATTCAGCCACGCTTGCTGGAGCTAAGCCAAGCAGCTTCCAAAAGCTGCACAAAGCAGCTCATCAGAGAGTTCCCATCCCAATCCAAACTGACGGGTAAGCATTTTCTAGCATGTTACTGAACATTATGCGTTCAGTAACTGCTGTTTGTTCTACTGGTTGTGTCTTTATAAAGTCTTTGTACCTCTCTTAGTACCCTCTAGGTCTTCTCTAATTTTGGGGGAAGCTGTGGTGGTAAACAGGGTGTGCTTAGCCCTAATGCAGAAAAAAAAAAAAAGTTTGTTAGGAAAGCGTGGCAACAAACTAATAATATTTGCAGCCATGGGACAGTGTACAGCTTTGTCCTGATTGCAGCTAGTCTCTTGGGGTATTCGTATTTCAGTATATTTGTGATTAAATGCCATTTCCCCTCTGCAGCAGGGCAGTAAAAACCAAGACTACATGGAGGCAGGTGGTGGTATCTACCAGTCAGCAGGAAGAGGGAAACGGGAGACGATCTGAGAGATGCCCCTATATCCTGTCCCTCCAGGAGGACCATAAGCAGGGGGAGTACATAGACATGGCTCTGACAGACTCTAGTCTTGTGCTGTGGTGTGCACCTGGGCACAGAAGAAAAACTTTCTCTGACATTCATTTTATATGACAGATTATTGGCCTTTAGTTTTACAGATAATACTAGACAACATTACCTATATTTATACAGATAACAAACATTCTCTAAGTAAAAAGTACTAAATAGAATTTATCACCTTAAAATAAGGTCTCATGTACTATAGGAGAATGAATTGGTTTAATTAAATTAATGTCTTATTGTTAAATCACCATAAAGACTGCTTTAACCTATCTTTGTCAACAAGCTGCAGGTTCTTTGAAGTCTACTAATGTAAATTAATCTGACAGAGGCAAGAAATAAAAACTGTTTGCATTTACACAGAATGAGGAATTGGCTTTGGACAGACAGATCAGTTTTTTGAGATTTGTGTTGAACTGATACATTTCATTAGCAGAGTCAGGTCTAATGGTTTTACAGCTGTTCATTGATGCAGGCTTCTTCTCTTTCTTCTACTGTTATATTCTTGATAGCTTAAGTACTTTCTCCAATTATATAGTTATTTTTCACAGTAATAGTACACAGTAGAAAATGACACATGGATGTTGCATATTGCTCAGTCTTGCTCCTTATCTCCAGCAACCAGGTTTGTGATCCTCAACAGTGTACCTAACCTCTTGGTGCCTGCCTGTTCTTCTGGATTCCAGGGAAAATATCATCCTGCTGATAATGCAGGAAGGTGTTGGACCTCAGAAGGACAGGCAGGAGTTCAGAGACACAGCTGAGACCTGAATATCCATCTCCTGTCTCTCAGTTTAGCCTAGCCAGGCACTGGAAAACTTTATTAAGCAGATGAGGAAGAAACTTTTTGTGAAATTGCAGGCACTCCGCCTCTTTCAAATGAGAGCCCAATGTCACAGCCTTTTTTAGGCAAAGTTTTCACTGAAGAGAACAAATGCTTTGTATTCAGGATCCCAGATGTGCCAGGCTGACTGCTATTTTCAGACAATGGCAAGATCTATGAAATGTTTCCATTTATAGTTTCAAAAAGTGTACTCAGATCTACTCTAAACTAATCTTTTTAAAATTCCCTCCATAGGCTCTGTAAGTGGGCTCCTTTAGAGAGTAATTCATCCTGTGTGTATTTGACAACTGTCTGGAATGCGACAAAATACACTAACAAATCCCATCCCACTGGCTGAAATTTTGTGCCCTATAACTGAAAAACTACACACATTTTCCACAGAAAATTTATTTATATGGGTTTTGCCTGAAAGCATTGTCAAGAATTATGTTTTACTGGAAGGAAGTTTGTATGGAAGAGATTGTGAACGACAAATACTCTCTCGGCTCTTTAGGATGCTGGAGATTTGTGTAACAGGAATATGTGCATTCCAGTACATGTAAACCTCAGGCCCTCTGATAAACACCTTCTGATGTATAGTCAGGCAATTCTTCCAATGCAAAACCTGCAGGAAGGGCTATCTTTTTGTTTGAATCCAAGATCTAAAACACCACATCCCAGGGCTTCCAGGTGTCTGACTAATAGTATAGTAACTGATTGTTGGCAGCTTAGAGCCAGGAGACAATTTTTTTCTAAAATGATCAGTCAAAGTATTCAAAGTTTAACAGATAGTTGATGTAGATGTTTATCTAAAGGGTACATGATCCTGAGGTATAAGGACAGAGTAAAATTGCTTGCCATTAACGTTATCTAAACTGTGTGCAGTAAACAATTTATTCAATCACACCAAACAATTATCCCTGTTCCCAAATTATGCATGAGCAGTTTCCTGCTGACACTTTATTTTGTACATTCATTATTTGAAATTGCTCAGTGAACAATTTCCATGAACTGCTTGCAAGTGATTTTTCTGGGACTTGATAGAAGGGCCTGCTATGCTTGCTCTAGCTCTACCTAAATCACATGATTCCCCCAAAAAAACAGGAGAGCTGATATAAAACAGGTCGGATTTCCTAAAGCAGAGCCATGGCACGCTTGTCACTGCCCTGCCAGGGCAGCTTGCTAACAGCATTGGGGAATAATGGGATCCTGTCCCAGGGGTTTGCTTCTTTCTGCAAATAGAAGAATACCAGATATGGAGTCTAACCACATTGCTTGCCTGGAACTCAAATAGTTATGGACACATTGCTCTCTGATAATGTGGAGCAGGTCCCCTCCCTGGGTGACAGCCCTTTTTAGGGGTCTCCACTACAGAAGATTTGGCAGCACTGGGTGAACTGGCTGTGATTTTTCTGTTCCCTTTTTGGACAACTTCCAGGCACAAATAAAGTTCAAAACAATCATGGAGAGATGTCTGCACTAATCCTGAAGGAAATGCTGCAGCTCTCAACCTTCCCTCTGCAGAGATCCTTAGGAATTTGTGTGAGTCTGTGTGACTGTCTATATAGACCAAAGGAATCACAGATATAGTCAGAGTACAAATGTATGCTTGCTTTTGGGTGTTGGTACACTGACAATCAATGTTTTGCTACAGTATTAATCCTCTTTTAGCTGCACATTTTAATATTTACTGTGGCTATTTTTGATAAGCAAAGGCTAGGGTTGAACCTTCAGGATGTTGCATATTTGCATCGTTATCAACCATTTTCTAGGAATTTTAAAAATTATTGTTAAGAATTTAGAATTTTATGTAAAGATACGAAAAGGAACTAGGTTACAAGTGTTTAACATCTCCAGACAGACAGGGCAGGAAAAATAAAATAAAAAAACCTAACTTAAAAACTTGAGGAACGAGGACAAAACAGAAGTAGGGGGAGGCTGAACATGAGTCTAAGGAATTACTTTAACAAGTGACAGAGAAGGCACACATAATTTGATGGTGAAAATACTCCACAGTGAGGGGAAAGAAAAGGTAAATATATTAGCTCAGAAGAGTTTTGAAATGGAAAGAGATAGCTTTTTTTAATTTAATAAACTGTGCATATTGTAAAGGACTGTCAACATGTGTGCTGTGTTAGAGCATGCCACAACTCTTCCTTGCTACCCTGATCTTTAAGAGCAAAGGCAAACACAGAACTAAAAAACAATATATATTTTCTTCTAATTTCAATGAATAAGTAAGACCAGTCTTCTGAATGATTTTTATTATACTTCTTTGTTCTGTAAAGAAAAAAACAATAAAACCCTATTATATAAGATTAAAAGCAGGGATACAGACTGCAATAAACATACATATATATGTAATTATTGCTTTTGTATGTAGTTGAAGTACATGGATCACTATAAAAAGCACTTTCAGAACTAAAATAGCAA